TTCTTCCACCGAATATTGGCTGTAGGATGTTTGCTTTTCCGAATGTTTGCTGTAGAATATTTTCTTATTGGCAACCACTAGAATCAACACTTATAAGACAGAGATGATGGCAACCACTAGAATCAACACTTATAAGACAGAGATGATGGCAGCCACTAGAATCAACAATTATAAGACAGAGATGATAGCAACCACTAGAATCAACACTTATAAGACAGAGATGATGGCAACCACTAGAATCAACACTTATAAGACAGAGATGATGGCAACCATTAGAATCAACACTTATAAGACAGAGATAATGGCAACCACTAGAATCAACACTTATAAGACAGAGATGATGGCAACCACTAGAATCAACAATTATAAGACAGAGATAATGGCAACCACTAGAATTAGTACTTGTAAGACAGAGATGATGGCAGCCACTAGAATTAACACTTATAAGACAGAGATGATGGCAACCACTCGAATCGACACATATAAAACAGAGATGATGGCACTACTTTGGACACATCCTGAGAAATAACCAGCAGAGAATCACTAAACAAACATTAAAATAGGAAAATGAAGGGATTAAGTAGGCAAGGATGCCCAAAAGAAACCTGAAGACCAAATGAGAGAGACCAAAGCTGATGGACTGGATTCCATCCATGATATTGAACTGTTTGCACAGGATAGAGCTGAATAGAGGAATAGCCTGCAAGTCCTGTGTGACATATAATGGCACAACAGGATAATGAATGAATATTTGTTGCAGTATGTATTCTTCTTATTATATTTATTGTAGGATGTGTTAACTTGTTGTAGCATGTGTTCTTCCAGTGTATATTTATTGTAGGTTGTATTATTCTTAATTATATTTGTTGTAGGTTGTATTCTTCTTATGTGAATTTGTTGTAGGTTGTATTCTTCTTATGTATATTTGTTGTAGGATGTGTTCAATTGTTGTAGCATGTGTGCTTCCTTTGTATATTTGTTGTAGGATTTATTCTTCTTATGTTTATTTGTTGTAAGTTGTATTCTTCTTATGTATATTAATTGTAGCATGTGCTCATTTATTTTAGCATGTATTCTTCCTTTGTAAATGTGTAGCAGGATGTATTCTTCTTATGTATTTTTTTCTAAACTTTTTCTGCCTCTCAACACAGTCATCTTTTCTGCCTTAATCTATAATAATAGTCAGTATACAACAAGTAGTTGCTTGAAAACAAAAGAATGTGAAATATTAATGGACAAAGAGAAGCGTAATTGAAAGATGGACAGAGTATATAAAAGAACTATACAATGATAACAGCAGACCCGACATAAAGAGTTATGAGTATTGGCAACGAATGCCAGTACTGAAAGCAGAAGTAGAAGATGCACTCGAAGAAATGTAAATCTCGAGGACCAGATAACATCACGATTGAAGAATTAAAGCTCCTGTTGAACTGGATTTAGACGTTTTGACAAAATGGTTTAATGAGATTTATAATAGTAGACATGTACCTGATGACCTTTTGAAATCTCTTTACATACCTTTACCAAAACACCTGATGCAGTGAAATGTGGAGAACATCGAACAATTAATTTAATGAGTCATGTAACTAAAATATTAGTGGTAATTATTATGAGAAAAAAAAGGTGCAAAATTAAACCAGAAATTAGAGAAGATCAGTGTCGTTTTGTTGAAGGTAAAGGCCCAAACAACGCTATATTTATCTTGAGAACACTTTCAGAAAGAATGATTGACATGAATAGATATCTATATTCATGCTTTATTGATTACACTAAAGCATTTGATATAGTGAAACATTAAGAAATTATTAGAATCTTGGAAACCTTGACATCGACGGTAAAGATCTGTGAATGATAAAAATATATATACAGGCACCAAGAAGCAGCCATTTGGACTGGCAACCAAGTTGGAACTTTTCAAAACATTAAACATGGTGTTAGACATTGATGTGTACTATCACCTGATTTATTCAATTTGTACAGTGAAATAATAACTAGATCCATATATGGAATGCCAGAAGTAGCGGTTGGTGGGCATATTGTTAACAACCTGCCTTATGCTGACAATGTAGTTTTGATCACTGAAAATGAAACACAACTGCCAAAAGCGATGGATATAATTGTAACAGAAAGTAAAAAAAAGGGTCTTAGTTTGAACAGCAGAAAAACAGAAGTAATGGTAAGTACAAAGGAAACTGTCTCTTAAAAGTTCAGCATCAAAGTAAATGAGAAAAACCTCAGGCAAGTTGACATGTTTAAGTACTTGGGTACCCTGATAACATCTAATGGAATATGTTTAAGGAAGTTAAATGTCGAATAGCTCAAGCAAAAGCAGCATTTTACAAAATGAAGAATATTTTATGCAGTCTTTCTTTGTCAGCTGAGATGAAAAAGAGAATTCTTAAAATTTATGTAAAGATGTACAGATGTGAATCATGGACAGTTAGTAAATTAGTGAAAACTTATTTGGAAGCTGCTTAGATGTGGTTTTATCGATGAATGATGAGAATACCCTGGACAGATAAAAAGAGTAATGAAGACGTTTTGAAATAAACCGACTCATGAAGAGGACTGATTGCCCGCATGAGAAAGATACAATTTACATTCTTTGGTCATGTGATGAGAAGGAGAAAACTGGAGTACATTGTGACGGTAGGAAAGTTGGAGTGGAGGAGAAGCACAGGGAGACAGAGAGAACAGATGGTGGACTGTTTAATATCATGGCATGGCAGTTCATCTGTGTCAGAGTTGATTAGAAGTACACGAGACAGAAGGTTGTTGATAGATATGACTGTTAACGCCACATGACATGGACTTTAAGAAGAAGAATTTGGGACAAATGCAGAAGTTCAAGTATCTAGGCCCATGGATAAAATAAGATTTAAGATGCATAACAGAGAGATTAAACAAAATAAGACAGGAGAAAATAGCATTTTATAACATGAGGAACGTCTTATGCAATAAATCCCTGTCATGGGAGACTAGAAAACAAATTTTAAGCACACTATAATGGACTTGGAGCAGAGAATGCTGTCCACACTTTGCCGTCACTTAATCATCTCAGTGATTTATTATGGATTGGGCTTACTCACTGTCTCGAAATGTCAGCTAGAGAAACTGGAGCGCATACAGAATGGAGCTATGCTGCCTATCCTGGGATGTACAAGAGACACCCTGATTGAGGGAACACCCTCTGTATGAAGCTTTGGCTGCAGGCACAGGTCAGAAGCAGAAATGGGGAAAATCGTGGATGGCTCCAGCAGAAGACACAAAAAGACAAGTATGCATGCTGGAGAACTTTGGGTGAGGAGAGAAGTGGGTCAAAGTACCTGTGGAAAAGCCTGACCTTTGTAGGGTTATGATCACATTGGGCCGGAAAAGCAGAAAATAGCCAGCGGGTGCTGCGGAGGTGGAAGTCCAAAAGTTGATTCACGACAATTCACGCCCAGGATTATCTATACAGATGGTTCTTGTTGAGAGGAAAGAAAAGTGCCTGGGGGTTCGTAGCAAAAGCCAGTGGAAAATCTTTAGTGCAAGACAGCCTAGCATATGACACCACAACGTCTAACATGAGAAAGGAGGTGAAGGTGGTAACTGCAGCTCTCCAGTGGCTAGAGAACAAGATGCATGCACATGTCGTAATTGTAACAGACTCTGATAGCATGATAAAGGTGAAGACAGGGATGCTTTGAGCAGAGTTTCAAGCTTCACTGGAGAAGTCACTGATAGTGAGCATACTTTAGATCTTTTCTCCAGGCCATGCATGCAGACAGATTGGCTGGATCTGCACCACTGGGTGTCAATTGATATATGACAAGGCAGATGTGGTCAAGGCCCTTTGGGAACAAACAACGGAATCAGTAGAGAAAGAAGATTATTATGGCTTGGAGAGAATGAGGCACCTGGGTGTAACCAGAGGGTCTGGCCAGCTCACTACACTCAGAGGAAAGGCATTTAACTAGATTGTGACTGGTACCATCAGTATTCCAACTCTGCGCTGGCTACTGAAAATGAGGATGGAGCATGCTTGGGAATGCCCAGAGTGCTGTGATGTCACTTCTTGACTCAAGTCAGATTTATGGAAAGAGAAATAAAGGAAGGCAGCATGAGAAGATTGTTGACAGACTTTTGTCATGACGTTGAGGAGTGTCACCACATGAACTGAAACATGCTGTTGAAAGTTCCAGGTTATGGAGAGGCATTACTGTCTACACCAATTGACAACACACTTGATGTTATGTTATCACAGTCAACGTTTTTGCACACACTGCATCCCCAAGGGTGCTCAGTCCTCTGATGCAGAAGCCACTCCAAGATACCTCTACTGATTGTTCCCCATGAGGAGTTGGTTAAAGTATCTGCTCTTTATACCTTGAAGATGACATACATGTGCTTCACCAAGTTTAACTCCTTTGTCACGCAGTTGTGTTAGCTTAAGAGATTCGCCATTATCCCCCAGCCTATTCCATACAGCATTGAAGATATCAGCTCTGTCCATGCTTCTTCCCGTTTGCATTACTTGCCAGCAGCTCTTTCATTACCATTCACTCCTGCGTGACCAGGTGTGTAGATCCAGATAATGGAGGTTAACTGCGACTTAAGAATGCTTTCTACCCATTCTGAACTTAGACTGCCTGTAGCAATTTCTGAAAGCATATTCATGGAGTCTGAAACGATTACAGCATGTGTGGCCACTTGTTCTGCTACCCATGCGAGTGATCTGGAAGCAGCAATCATTTCCATGGTCATGCTTGATGTAGTCGTCTGGTAAGCACCGCTTATCTCTTTTATTGTTTTCCCTATCATTTGTGCTGTGTATGTCCATGCTGATCTTGACCTGTACTTCATTGACCCATCTGTGTAAACTTGATGATGATCAGTAAACAAATCTCTGAAATTTATTAATCTTATATTTAGAAAGCATTGTTCTAAACAATTTTTTTATAAACATATTCTGTTTTCATCATTACATTACATTTTGTTGTTTCTTAATTTGACAGACAACAATGAGAAAGAAGATAAGCGGTTAAGTCACAAAGAAGAGCAGCATCTGTCAGATTTAGCTTTGCCTGTTGCTGTAGATGGTAATGCAGCACAGAGATACAAAACTGACAGTGATGAGAAAAAACGGAATCTTGCATTTATTGGTCAAATGAAGGTTTGTTAAACTGTTTAACATTGTTTATTCAGTTCATTTTGTGTATCTTGATGTTTCAACTTCAAAGCAAATGAGTCACCCCATAGTTGCTTCACTCCTGTGCCAACGAAAAACACACAGAATGTTAGCAGCAATCCCTTGTGCAAAGATTGACAGACTGCTGTCTCAGCATATGCACTAAGCATATGCACTAGCATACACACATTAAAAGCATACGGTAGCCATCAGAAGTGCTAGCACAAACAGTTTGACATTAGAAATGCAGTTCATCATTGACGGTAGCAAAATTCGCCAACAGATCAGCAGTTGCGCACGTGATCAATATTAATCACATGAGGGCATCACCCAATATTGCGGCGACAGGCAATGCGCTATTTTCTGAATCTACAGTTCACAATACCACGTTGGTCACAGTTGAAAAACATTCTAAATGAAATCTGCAGCTCACAGGGTCGCGCCATGCACTCAGCTCAGTAGCTGGCGCGACGAAACTGTATCCTTTCAGTCTACAAATGGATAAAAAACGCAACGGCCACCGTCCGGCAGAAGCAAAAAATTTGCCTCAGCGCGAAACAGTAACCACGCCTGGCGTCCATTTTGACCATTTTGTGTATGCAGTCCATATTGAATTACTGATAATGTTGATATGTAGCTGGGCAGAATTTACAGAAGGATCAGTGAACATGTTTGACAATTTCACTATCCTTGATGTACCTGGGTTCGATTTTGGAATGGAACTATGCAGCCAGAAAAATATCATAACACATCAGAACAAAATTTCCCTGTTAACGGAAATAGATAAATATTATATTATAAATATTAAAATATTTATTCACATCAACAAATTATTTGGAAAATTTAAGACATTTGCTGTGTATTTTTGTTATGCCATTTGCAGTAACGTAACACAAATTACAAATAAAAACAGACAAAAATTTTACCCAACAAATGTATATAGTAATTAACAAAAGTTTTATCCAAATTATTTGTGAGTATCAGTAATATGTTTCATGCAGTTTTTCTTCTTCTTAAAATCCATGCTGTGTGGTGTAGGTAGTCATGTCTATCCACAGCATTCTGTCTCAGGTACTTTCAGTCAACTCTAATACAGATGATCCTCCATGCCATGATGTCAGAATGTCCATTGTCTTCTCTCTCTGTCTCCCTCTGAATCTCTTTCCCTCCAACTTTCCCACCATCATGATGTACTCTAGTTTTCTCCTTCTCTTGAAAAATCCTTGTGTAAGGTCTGAAATTACAAGTGAATGCCTAAAACAAATTAAGAACAATCAGTTAATTCTGCACTTTGACTGTTTTATCAACACACAGCACGGCTCACTGGAACACACTCCATATTTTCTTCCACCTTGCTATTTTTAAGTTCTTATTTACTTACCTCAAAGTGGCACATAAAAGACAGCACTTGAAGGTTGCTGAGAGCATTATCTTCAAAATAACACAGCTATTGTGACAGGTTTAAAAGAATGCATTTAAGGAATGTTCCCAGCAACTGTGAACATGTTGACAAAAAGTATAAATTGCCAGTGGAATTTAATTTTGATCGAAATGAAAATATTGCATTTTTAGTTTTTTTTTTATTTGGTAAACATTCCCGTGTGGATTCTAAAAAGAATAGACCCACTATCATAAAAGATAACTAAGTAGGTTTTGCTAAAATCAAATGTATTTGGCTGAAAGGTGCTGATATTGCAGCCTAGCTGTAAGTCATAACACTGTGTGCCAGCCACTGGTTTGATAATGGGCGAAAAATTAAAATAAAACGAAGAAGTTGACATCACAGCACTTGGGGCATTCCCATAAGCACTCCGTCCCCATCTTCAGCAGCCGGTGAAGAGTTCTTATACTAATGGTGCCGGTAGCATTCTGATTAAATGTCCCTCTTGCCTTTCGTCTGAGCCTTGAGCATCTGCCAGAACCTCTCGTCACTCCCCCCTGCATCAATCTCACCAGACTGTGGTGATCCATCTGCTCCTCCGAACTATACACGCTCTTCCACAAGGCACTAACAACGTCTGCCTTATCATGCATCAGTATTCCACCAAGTTTTGCAGAACCAGCCAGTCTGTCCGCCGGTGAAAAAATCCAGAAATACTCCTCACCGTGTCCTCCGCAGTGAAGCATGCCACTCTGCACGAAGCATACCTTTCCTGATCTTCTTCAGCATGCTTTCTAAGTCAGTAAAAATCATGATGTGTGTGTGTGTCATGTTCTCCAACCAGCCAAAAGCTGCAGTGACGGCCTCCACCCCCATTCTTAACTCTTTGAGTCCCAGAGAGTTTAGCATCACAGGCCCAAGGGGTAGTCAAAAGATACGTAAAATCGGCGCATTGTGCGTTCATTGGGCTTCTAGGTAGGAATCTATGAGCGTATGATGTGTTTATTGGGACTCAAAGAGTTAAGCTGGACATTGTGGTATCATATGCTAGGCTCTCCTGCACCAAACTTCGACCAATAACTTTTGCTAAGAAACCCCAATGCACTTCTTTTGCCTCTTGACACTGAACCGTCTGTGTAAATGATCAAATCCTCTGAATGAGCATTAATTGCTGAATTTCCACCTCTGTGGCACCTTCTGGCCAGTCTCTTCATTCCTGGCTTAGTGGATTATGACCCTACACAAGTCTGACTGTTCAGTTGGCAATTTGACCCACTCCTCTTCTAGCCTAATGTTCTCAAGGATGCAAACCTGTCTGATTGTGTCTTCTGCCTGAGCCAACCATGACTTCCCTCTTATCAGCCGCTGACCCTTAACTGCACCCAAAGCTTTGTGCAAAGGGTGGTCTGTGTCTGCAGCTACCCTGAGCTATGACCTCGGCTGCAGCATCTTGTGCCTATCTGCAGCAGTCGGCAAACCAAGAATGTATCACATAGCATACACACCACTGGCAAACAAAAAATAATAAAGTAAAGAAAAATCTATTACTTTTTCAAACTACTTAATATCAAGGTCAAAGTCTTGTTTCCATACATTCATATGTTAAAGCTGCAGGGATTATGTTTTCTTTACCAAACAGTTCTCAGTTGGTAATGTGGGTAACATAATGTGTTCTATCCCATTTTCTGGCACCTGTTATTTTTAGATTGGCAACAGTTATTGTAGAAGAGGATGACCTTAGGGTCATGTGATTTTATATTCTAGTCAAATATTGTGAGATCTGTTTTTGGTTAAAATGTTTCCATGTAAACAACAGAAGCTGCCTTTGGATAAACTGGTTCCTGTAGATCATCTTGATGTTGTTAAAATGGAGCAAGATGGACACATGAACAAAGAATACCATAAGGAAATGTTTCTTGGTGAACATGAGGAGTTTAAAGCGGAAGCAATAGAAAATGCTGAGGTTAAGCTCAAAGAAGTTATTACCAAGTAAGTGTATTCTGTGAAATTATTGAAGTCATGACTGCTTTTTTCTTTCACACACATGCCAGAACTTTTTTCATTACCCTTAAAAAGTGAGTTGGCACATGATGTTCTAGTTTACAGCTAGGCTGCTGTGTCTTTTTGGCCCAAACATTCAAATTTCACGAAACCCTTAATTGCTTGTACTTTTCCATTATTTTAACTTATTAGTTGCCTTCTACGATGTGCTTATTAAGAGGTAGTGGGAAAGTTTTTTTCTTCCTCCATAATGGGGTCCTGGAATCTACACCAGAATGCTAAAACATTCTGTTAATATTCTATTATAGAAGCAGTTCATGTAATTTCAGGTTATTCCATAGATCAATTTGACGATTGTAAAGCAGGACTTAATTTTTTAGAGTGTTTTTTTTTAGAGTGCAACACACACACACACACACACACGCACGCGCGAGTACTTCTTTCTTATGTCTGTAGAGCGTTGCCTTCATATCACTTTCAAAATATTTAGGTAACCAAATTTGCCTGTCCAAGGTACTTCCAGCATTTTTTTCCAGAAGCATATTTTTGAGGCTTCAAGGAATTTTAAAAAGAAATTTCTGTTCCTCTTAGAGTTCAAAGAACATAGTTTCTCTGAATTACCACCTGAGATACTCAGTGATACATGACTAATTAACACTTAAATATAAAAGTGCAGTATCTTTATCTGAACCACGGTGACCAGGAATCTCAAATAATGTCTAGATTTTAAAACTCACACATACACATGCATGCAAACGCACACACGTATAGTTCTGTTTTATGTATGAGTGTGTGAGAGAGTGTGGGAGTGAGAATCCTCGACCACTATGGTGGATACGCAGGCAATACGTTGAAGCTTCAAAGGGTTTTTGCGCTTCCAGCCATGGCTTGCTATTGCAGTTTCCACATACAAACTGATGTCCTCGGTTTAATTACCTGTGCTACTGAGTTGACTTCCCGGTGCAAGCCTGGCAGCTGTGAATTCCATTTGGAAGGCATTCAGCGGTTTGTGTCATGATATTTAAAAAATTGCTGAAGGGTGGTTTACACTCGATTTGACTAAATGACTAATGCAGTAATATTGTGTGTATAGCTTATTGTCATGATCGACTACTTCCTTCAGTGAGCTTAGTTTCTTGAACGCAGTTCTAGTGGCAGTTGATGGTGTTGGCACCTCAAATGACTGCCTTGTGCATTTGCTGTGTGAGCATGTTTGTGGATTTTGCCAGGACTAATAGTTTGTATACTATACGGTCCAACAATTAAGTATTGAGACTAATTTCATAAAAATGGAAACAATCAACAGTTAAAGCTATAACCTGTATTTTATTTAAAGTAAACCCATTGTGCATTGATACAGCGAGTAGCACAATCTAATAAACACTGGAACAACCTCTGTAGTTCTTCTGTTACTATGGCCCTTAAAGTCGATGTTACGCCCTTTGGATGTCATCAATATCATCAAAGAAGTGTCCTTTTAATGGTAACTTTAATTTTGATAATAAAAAATAATCACAGGGAGACAAATCTGGGGAAAAGGGTGGATAGTTGAGAACACACACTTGTTTTGGGGCAAAACATTCATGTTTTGATCGTGTCTTGTGGGTACTCAACCCACTGATGTTTTTGGTCATTAGACAACGAATGTGTTACAAACCGGCAAGCAACTTTTTTCTTGCCAAAATCTTGCACTAAAATTTTATGAAGGGTCTCTCTGTTAACACCAGATTCATCTGCCATCATCCTGACAGTAAAACAATGATCTTCTTGTATGTGTTCTGTGACTTTTGCAATGAGTTCATCATTACGAACAAAAATTGGGCATCCAGGTCTAGTTGCATTAGTAATCATTTCTTCACCACTTTTGAATCGTGAATACCACCTGAAAATCTGTGCACCAGATAAACAATAATCCCCATAAACTTGTTGCATCAATTCAACTGTCTCAGTGGCGCTTTTTCTGAGTTTTAAACAGAATTTAATGTTAGCTTTTTTGCTCCATGCTGATTTTGCAACAATGCACATCTAACTAGGTCAGTAAAATGGCGGCTTATTTGTCGTCTGCTTATCAGGCCTTGATACAAAGTTGCCAGATCATAGATGAAGGCTGTCTCTTTAGATTCTGTGCTTGGCTTCATAGTTAGCACTTTTGTCTTTTTTTTTTTTCTATTCATCATCAATTCTCATAATGCCTAGTAGCACATGAGGCTTCAGAGAGGACTTTCCATGCTTTCCTGTCCTGTGCAATCTTCAGTGCAGTTTTCCATGTCAAAGATGCTGCACTCAGGTCACTTTCCATCGTTCGTCTCCATGTTGTTTTTGGGCGCCCCTTTTTTTTCTCTTTCCCTCTGGTATCCATGTGAGAGCTGTTTTGGCAGGTATATCAGGATTCATTCTCATAATGTTGCCAAGCCATTTCCCTTTTCTCTTGGTTATCATACTGTCTAGAGTTTCTTGGTTTGTGACTTGAAGTAGTTAAGTGTTTGACATTGCATCTGGCCAGAATTTTTGATAATTCTACGTAGACATGTGTGGTGGAAGCTGGACAGCTTGGTGCATCCTTTTTTGGTCATTCTCCAGCATTCTGCTCCATAAAGAAGAACTGGCAAAATGATGCTCTTCTTGTAGAGTAGGAGTTTTGTTCCTCTGCAGCTGTTCCAAAAGCAGCTCTAGTTTTGTTCAGGCGTGACTGTATGTTTTCCTCCGTCCCTCCTAGTAGGGACACCGCACTGCGAAGATATGGGAAATGTTCTACATTTTTAAGTATTAGGTTATTTATGGTCACTGGTTGTTGGTTTGGACTGTTTGTCATGATCTTAGTTTTCTTTGTATTTATTCTCAGTCCAAACATTTCTGCTGTGCTGTGTAGACTGTTACTTTTCTCTTGTATATGTTCATGTTTATGTGATAGGAGTGCTATATCATCTGCAAAATCAAGGTCCTCAAGCAAGGTGAATGGAATCCATTGTATGCCTCTCAATGTATTGTCTGCTGTGTTCTTTAGTATCCAGTCAATCACAAGGTTGAAGAGGAGAGATGACATAACACATCCCTGTCTTACACCTGTCTTTACTGGGAAAGATGTAATTTTTGTACTGCAGGAAAAGTCTTTATAGAACGGAGCAGTTATGTTGACTATCTTTTCTGGAATTCCATAATGTCGTAATATTTTCCAGAGACTGTCTCTATGGACGCTGTCAAAAGCTTTCTCAAAGTCCACAAAATTAATATATCTACTTCTCTGCCATTCATTGCATTGTTCTAAAATGTTACGTAGGGTGAAGATGTGCTCAGTTGTTCCTCTGCCCTTTCTGAATCCTGCTTGTTCCACTCTTATCTACTCCTTTTTCAAGCCGCATTATGATGATTTAAAAAAAATTTTTGCTTGGTACTGAGAGTAGAGTAATTCCCCTCCAATTATTGCAGTCTGTTAAATCTCCTTTTTAGGGGATTAAGACTATTGTTACTTCAATCCAGTCACCAGGCAACACTTTTTTTTCTCCCTAAATATCCTTGAACAATGGTTCTAGAATGCTAGCAGTTGTGTTGGGATCTACTTTGAGAAGTTCTGCTAACAGTTTGTCTTTGCCTGGTGCTTTGTTGTTCTTTAAAGTATGGATAACTTTAAGGATTTCTTGTTTGCTTGGTGGTTTAGTAATAATGTCAAGGTCCTGAGAGGCTGGTTGAATATCTGGGGGATATTCAGGTCTATTCAAGAGGTTAGAAAAATATTTAATCCACTGCATGTTTTGTTTGTGTTCTGTGGTAAGCCGTTTGCTTTGGTTATCTCTGATGGGTATGATGTGGTAATTGTTTCTGCTTCTGCAAATTTGTTGGGCAATTTTGGGTACGGTTTGTAGATTATGTGCTTTAGCAGCATTTTCTGCTGTTTCTGCAAGATTTTCCACAAATCTTCTCTTGTTAGTTCTGGCACTTTTCTTTACCATTTTATTTAGTTCGCTATATTTTAACATGTCTTTCTGATGTTCTGATTTAGTGTAATTTATGAGGCTCTTTTTTCTCTCTCGCTTGGCAATATAGTCCATGGTTTGACTGCTTATCCATTCTTTGTGGTGTTGTTTCCTGGTTCCTAATATGTTTTTGCTGGTTGTTTTGTATGTTTCTTTGATCTGGTTTCATCTGTCTTGAATGCTGATTGTAGTTTGAGTGTCTGGGTCACCTGATAGAGTTGCAAATCTGTTCTTGAGTTCTACTATAAATTTAGTGGCAATGTCTTTTTCTCCTTAAAGGTTGATATTGTAGCGTGCTGTCAGTGTCTTAGCTTGTGTGGGAACTTTTTTTTAGATAAGTCATAGTAGAGCAACTACAAGGTGATGATTGCTTCCCACATCTGTCCCCTTTTGACACACACATCGAGTAGGGACCCACGCTATTTTTTGTTTACCATGAAATGGTTGATCTGGTTTACATCTCTTCAATTTAGGGATATCCATATAAGCTTTTGTATATTCTTGTGAGGAAATAGTGTTCCTCCTATAACAAGTCTATTCACCGTACAGAAGTCGCTCAGTCTTTCCCCGTTATCATTAATTGTACCACACATCCTTGTTTTCCCATTGATATTTCTCTATTCAAGTTGTTGTTACCAACTTTTGCATTGAGATCTCCCGTAATGCATAGCCTATCACTGGCTGATACTGTATATACTACCTCTTGCAGTCTCCTAAAGAATGTTTCTTTATCTTCATCCTCAGCTTCATTAGTCGGTGCGTAGCATTGGATAATTGTAAATTTGGCATGTTTCACATTGAATCGTGCTGTCATAATTCTTTCATTAATTGGATGCCACTCGATAAGATGTTTGTGCATACCTTTCTTTATAATGAGTGCCACACCTGCAGAATATGGGTTATCATCTCTTCCAGAGTATATTATGGTTTCTCCTGTACCTGTTGTGGATTGTCCGTAATAAAATCAGTCTCATTACTCAGTTATCGGACCTTGTAGTTTTTAAATGGAACATTAAGGGATATTTTGTGTGATTTTCACTGGCACAGGAACAGAACAGTTATTGTGAGACCTGTTTGCAATGAAGTTGAAACCTCAACTGCTGCTACTACTACATATAAGGTTCAGAGGAACTGCGATGTGACAGCATGAACGATTGTAAGACTGCAGTGTTTCAAATGTACTGTCACAAACAGTATGACATTCCAAAGTAGCTGTGTGGTGATAATGGCCTTACTGCTTACTTCCACCTATGTAACTCAGTATTATATGATTTTATTTACAAATCACAGACCTGTAGGAATTTGTAATCATCATGCAACAGGTCCTATGCAGAATATGGCTCCCATTATTTGCGGCTTGAAAGACTTTTGGACCTTTGCCATTTCTTCTCCTTCATGTATTTTTATATTTAGGGTCCCTAATGCATCAATTTTCATGCTGTTTGACCCCAACCTCTTCTAGGAACAATGAAATTGTCTTTCTAAGTGGGATTTAAATGAAAATTTATGCATGTGATTTTAAGTAATATAGAATATTATTCCGAATTTATTCATTTGTTGTTATTCTTATTTTTGACTAGAGCTGATATTGATAGAGATGGTTATCTGTCCAAGTCAGAAATGGAAAAATGGATACTTGAAAAAATGATGGAGCATTTTAAAGAGGCTAAAAGAGAGAATACCATTATTTTTAAACATTTGGATCCGGACGGTATGTTGTTATTGTTGGTATATCATGATGTTTATTGATCATATTATCATTTAAAAATTCTTTTTTTTTTTTTCTTTTTCTTCAGCATTCCAAACCCTTGAAGTTCATTGCTACAGATATCACCAGCCTCCATTCACCTCTGTGGTTGGCCTTTTCTTTGGTGACACCAAGTTTTTGTAGGTCTGTAGGATATTATCTCTCCATGGACTTCTTGGTCTGCCTCGTGATCTACGACCATTCAGCTCCCTTGCATATACAGTTTTTACCTCTCTGTCATCTAATATTCTTTCAGTATGCCCCAGCCATTTCAGTCTATTAGCCTTCAGGTTGCCAGTGATGAGTGGTGATTGAAACAGATTATGAATTTAATTGTTGCTTTTCACTGACCATTCCCGGAAGCAACTGCCAACGAACGTAGAAAAAGAAAAATATCCTAGTTTCGATAGCCAAGAATTGCTGCGTCTGCTTCCCTCTGCAGCGCTTCCCCCTGCAGCACTTCTTACCTGTACACAGTTGCCTAAAATAGACTCACAACAATACAGCTTCCCACAAACATTACATACGCCGAGAGAACGCCAAAACAAATCATATCATAACATCCCTTCAACAAAAGACAGGTCCAACAACCTAAGGAGGCATCAATGGCAAGGGAAGTTACTCTAATCCTGGGCCGCTTATCACGACCAGGTCCAAGACTTTTTTAAAGTAGTAAATCTGGGAGGAAGGCAAGAGAAAGAACAAGAAAGAGATGGATAGATAAATACAGAATACCACAACACTGGGCTGCAACCTGGTAACAATGAGACGACAAAAGAAGAAGAAGATTGATGCATTTTACAGCCTTTATTTCTTAAAAAAAAAAATATCTATTCATTGTTTTGATGGTTAGCTTCCATGTTCATTACAATATCCTTCATGAGTTCTCTCTTTTGCTGTCTAACTACTTTTGTAGCTTCTTTACATTGTGTTGTATATTTTTCTTCATTTGTATGTTACTAGTATTATTTAGCCACATCTGCCTGACATATTTTTCTTATTGACTGTTTCTTCACTTTTTTTAATCGAGCAATTTGTTTTTTATGTTTATGGCTGACACACCAAGACATTCTTCTGTAGTGGTTTGAATTATATTCTTAATATCCATCCTAGTTTGGTCAACGTCTTCCTCAAGGATTTTGTAAAATTTCAGTTTTACATTTTAATTCATCTGCAAATTTATCTGATATGGATGTTTCTTGTAATCTTTCTCTATTGTACTTTAAGGGATCTTTGCAACTTGGTGTAGAAGGATCTGCTTAAGCCTTGATTTTTAATGTTGCATCAACCAGGTAGTGGTTTGTATGGCGTTCAGCTCCTCTGTAGCTTCTAACTTGTTGTATGTTCCATCATTTATATTATTTATTCAAATGTGATTTGTTTGATTATAAGTTATCTTGCCACATGATGGCCAGGTTTGTTAATGTTTATGGTTTTTTTTTTTTAAATCTGGTGCTGCTTATTCTTAGTCCTTTGGCTACTGTGAGGTAGATTAACCTTCATCTTTTATCGTTTGAATTTGTATGTAGACTTTCCATGCCTGTTACATTTTTATAGGTGTTTTCTCTTCCTTTTTTTGTGTGTGCATTGAAATCTCCTAAGACAATCATTACATCCCGTTTTTCAGTTTCCTCTATGATATTCTCAAGGATATGATATTAATCTTCTTTAATATCACCTTCTTTGCCTTCAGTGGGTGCGTGCACATTAATCATCTGGATATTTTTCCAGTTTGCTTTTATTCATAACTTACTGATCCTATCATTAACAGCTTCACAATTAATAATACTATCACACAAACTTTTTCTTGATGACAAATCTCTTTCTCCCTCCCTCCCTCCCTTCCTCTCCCTCTCCTCTCTCTCTCTCTCTCGCTCCCAGGTAGTTAGGATCCTTTGGATATTTTCTCCAGGTCAGCCGGTGTGTTGGGAAATGAGAAGGCAGTTAGACCGGCCAGTTCTGCACCACTTGGTGTTGAATTGATGAATGACAAGCTAGATATTGTGAGGGCCCTTTGGGAACGAGTGAACAGTGCAGATGCACAGATAGATCATTACGGTCTGAGGAGAATGGCGCTGCGAGGAGGATGTGGCCGACACTCAACACTCAGGGGAAGGATGAGACAGATATACAATCAAACAGCTACTGGTGCCATCGGAATTGGAACTCTTCGCTTGCTGCTGAGGATGGAGATGGAGCACTTAGGGGAGTGTCTCGAGTGCTGTGATGTTGATTCTTAATTCAGCAATCAACATTCTCACCATATTCTCCCCTGTATGTTTTTTCATGAAATCAGGACCTTTTTTTCTTAAGGCGCATTGAACGCAATGTCAGTGCTGTGAAAAAAACTTATTTTTAACTAGATATTGACTTGTGTAGCAAATGTGAATTTACCAGGTAAAACACGAGTAAGCTCTACAACTGTTCTAAAGATATTCTTGTTTGGATAATGAGCACCATAATCAGTGTCCTTCCCAGTGTGTAGGAGAAAATCAGTATGTACCAGTAACTGCTTTCACACAATTATGACTTGATGTGCAGTCACTATTTTGTTGAAAAAACTTGCCTCCACCCTTTTCACAGCAAATATTTTCACCAATACTTGTGTCTCTTTCTGGTGCATGAACCAACTTCAGTGTAGAATGCATGTGCCCTAGAATCGGGTGTATTTGGAACTGCAGACAAAACATTTTTTTTTTTTTACTTATCTCTTGAAAGGGGTATCAACATATTAATTTGAAAAGCACTGTCTGTGGCAAGACTTTCCTAACAATTTCTTGAAGAATTAAAATCTGTTAATATTTTGTTTTTCGTCAAATTTGCCTAAAAACAAACTAAACATGACCTTCACATTGGGATGGGACTTACTGTATTACTAAAAGTAAAGTTTGTTTGTTCAGCTATTGTGACATTAACTGTGCCAACAAAGCACATGGAATAACTCATAACATCATTTGGTCTGATTGGCACACTCACAACCACTAACTGACAGTCGTTAATGAGACATACCAGCTCACAAATATACTGGCGGTGTTGCCTGATGCAGTGACTATAGAATAGGCTCTTTTAACCTACAGAATCCTCATCACTTTCTTCACTGCCTTTGATCAGTGAACTGTCACTAAAACTATCTATAAAATATTTACAGCATCTTTTGCTGCTTTGGGCAATTTCAAATGGTTATAACATAAAAAAATACTTACGAATAAAGTTTATTCTAAAATAAAAGTCTCACTGTAATAGAAAATACCAACTGCAATAAAAAAATGGCCACAGTGATAGAAAATTTTTACTACAATAAAAAATGCCCACAGTGATAGAAGACACTCACTGCAATGGAAAACACCTACTGAAAGGAAGGTTTCCACTATTAGGCATTGAAATATGTGCTGCAGCAATCGATATAGCGCAGCGGTTCTCAGCCTGTGGGTCACAAACTTTTTATGGGTCAAAGGACCATTTCACAGGAGTCGCCAAAAACCATCAGAAAACATATATTCACTGAAGTTATGAAGTAGCAACGTAGATGATTGTATGGTTGGGGGTCGCCACAATATGAGGAACTGTATTAAAGGGTCGCTGCATTAGAAAGGTTGAGAACCACTGATCTAGCGGATAAATCCAACATAGTACTGTTGGATTTCTGAATGCAAAATAAGCCATTCCTTCTCACATAGATCTCTGCAGATCACAGGATAGGGTAAAACACTGTCGTATAGTGACAATGTTTTAGTGTATCTTTAGGAAAGATAGTGATCAGGTTGCTGAAGAACTACAAACAGAAAACAACTGCATAAGCAACTGCAGTGTGGTGAAGCTTGTGTACTGGTCAATTCAACAAAGGCAGCAGTGACTTGGTTCTTTTTGAATAACCATATTGTTAACACCCCAACGTCAACTCTGTCTATGCTCAGAGAATGGGGGGGAAAATACAGTCATGAAAAACCTGGTGATACGATTTGATCGTAGCCTGGCATATACTGAGCGCGTAGACCAGGTGATAATTAAATCCAAATGGGGCTTGGCTGTGATGAGAGTGAAGGCTGCAGCAAACTGAGTAGTTTTATTTATGTCTTTTATCTCAGTGTCTGCTCCTTTCTGTTTTTGAGTCTGCAATGGCCATCCTGACTCTCAGCCATAAGCAGTTAGAGAGGATGCAAAGGATACAGGATGAGGCACAAAAAATAAAACTGCTACTGGAATCAAACACTGATACATTAAGGATTGTGAGGATGATCAATGGCAGATTATGGCCTTGCCAAAATGGATCTTTAGACATGTGTTACAAGCACACAGTTATTCCTGTTTTTTCCCATTATCCATAAAGACAAGGTTATTCATCCATTCCAAAGCCGGAGGATCTGGAGAGCGTGTATCCCTTGCTTTCTTTTGTCATTCTTTCTGAATTCTGATGTCGCACGATTTGGATTAGAGGTGAACACCATGATTAGCATTTAACACAGGGTAACAAATAAGAACAACATTGAATATCCATTGAAGTTGTTTGTGATGGTGATGCTATTTTTCTGTAACTTTCAAGTCGCCTAACAGCGGTTGGTAATATTCTTTGACTATTATGATTAACAATTAAAAAAAAATTTTGTTGTAAATTTCAGGTGATGGCTTCATCAAATGGAAAGAATATTATGTTCATTTCCTATTATCTCGTGGTTTTGACCCAAAGAATACATGGCAACATATTGTAGACTATGATGATTCTATTAAGCTGGATCAAGATGGTTTGTATGGCTTTTGTCACACTGCATTTTAATATTCACAGATATTTATAGTATTAACAGTCCTTTAAAGATTGGTTACCAAATAACTTTACTGCCTAAGCATACCAATTGTGCCAAATTTTATTTCTTCAAAAATTACCTTGGCTTCCATATTGACCCCAACTTAAAAATGGGTACCAGGTAAAGTCCTGGGAAGTAAAGGTGGTTGGCATGATGTTGACCACATCACCCACTGCAGATTGGTGTGTAAAATATAGGTCTATAACTATTTATCCAGTACAACTAAGGGCGTGAAAAGGAGTCCTTCGTTGCATGAGCTTTCTTTGATACCAGACATTCAGATAAGTTTGTGTTGACAAATTTATATTGTTGCTTCCTCTGAACTATCTGCTGTTGGGGCATAAATCTGTACTAAGTTGATGACAAACGGTCTGCCGCGAAGTTTTACTAATAGTACTCTATCTGATATTGTCCAAAATCCTTTCACAGTTTTTGAGTTCTTTAGATCCAAAATAATACCAACTTCCTTACTATATTCCATCCCACCCGAGTAAATAATTCTGTGCTGATCTGAATACTTTTCCCCTGCTCCTGGCCATCGCATTTCACTAATTCCTAATATGTTGATGTTCATTCACTTCATTTCCATCTTGATGTTATCCAGCTTTCCGTTTTGTAAGAGTGTTCTGACATACCATGTACCAGTGTTCATGATGTTTCTACCATTTACTACAGTAGCTGGATGACGGTCGGGTATCACCCGTAGAACATGATGCTCCCTACCGGACTAGGTGATTTCACCGGAATCCTCATTCACGTCATTATCTGAATACGTATTATTTTGAGGCATGATTAACTAGGGATAGTACAGCGGTGGTTTCCCCTTGCCTTCCGCCGGTTTGTGTATGGTTTGACTCCAATAGCCTTTGTCTTAAGAGACTTACCCTGCAAGGCAGCAGGGGAGGAGAGGTTATGGCGCCTCTTACCCGCCGATGGCCATGCCGTAGAGTTTTGAGGTATTTTTTAGAGTTAGCTGTCACACAAACTAACTCGCCTCCTCTCAATGACCATCACCTGTTTTGGTCCACGGCCACTTATTCAATATATTCGTGGCTAACCTCTATATCTAGAGGCCTTTCCGCCATCCGCCACCTGGTGGACGCGCCCAGTAGTAGGACAGGCTCCTACCCCAGGTAGGAGAACAACAGAACAACAATGATGGTCCACCAATAATGACTGCAGAAGTAGAGGATGCAATACATCATATGAAGAAAGGAAAAGCGCCCGGGCCAGACAACATCTCACTGGAAGAAATCGAAGCACTGGGAAATTTTGGAATTGAAATAGTAACTAAACTTTTAAATGATATTTATAATAGTGGGTATATTCTAAATGACCTTTTAAAATCCATATTTATAGCTCTGCCAAATAAACCAGGCACTTTAAAATGTGATGACCATCGCACAATAAGTCTTATGAGTCACATGACTAAGATTTTACTGAGAATAATTATGAGAAGAATAAGAAACAAAATTAAACCAGAAATCAGCGATGAACAATGTGGATTTGTAGAAGGAAAAGGTACAAATAATGCCATATACATCCTAAGGACATTGTCAGAAAGAGCTATGTCAGAAAGAGCTATAGAAGCAAAGACTGATTTGTACTTATGCTTCATAGACTATACAAAAGCATTTGACTGTGTGAAGCATCAAGAAGTAATCAAACTGTTAGAAAAATTAAACATTGATAGGAAAGATCTACGAATAATAAAGAATATGTATTGGCAGCAAACAGCAGCTATAAGCATAAACAACTGTTTAGGTACATTTCAAAGCATAAAGAGCGGCGTACGACAAGGATGTTTACTTTCACCTGATTTGTTTTCAATGTAAAGTGAATATATAATGAGATCTTTAATTGATATGCCCAGAATTGTGGTTGGTGGGCACAATATAAACAATTTATGTTATGCTGATGACACAGTCTTGATAGCAACAAGTCAGAAAGAATTACAGGAAATGATAGACATTAGGGTGTTAGAAAGTGGAAGAATGGGCCTCAGTTTGAATAATGGGAAGACAGAAGTAATGGTGGTATCAAAGAAACACATTATTCCTAAATGTGTAATAAAAGTCAATGGTGCTATTTTAGAACAAGTACAGACTTCTAAGTATCTGGGCACAAGGATAACATCAGATGGAAGATGCAAAACTGAAATAAGAAACAGAATTGGACAGGCAAAAACTGCATTTTATCAAATGAAAAACATCTTGTGCAATATATCCTTGTCATTGAGAGTTGGAAAAAGAATTCTTGCTTGCTACATACATCCAGTTTTAACATATGGCTGTGAATCCTAGACAATCGGTAGGCAGGCCAAACAATTTTTAGAGGCCTCAGAGATGTGGATTTTCAGAAGAATGCTTAGAATACCTTGGACAGCCAAAAAGAGCAACCAAGAGGTTTTGAAAGAGGCGTGAGCCTGAAGACAACTTATCACAGACATTAGGAGGAGACAGTCATCATTTTTCGGCCATGTTATGAGAAGAGGGAAAATAGAACATGTTGTGACCACTGGAAAGATCTGTGGAAGGAGGGATAGAGGAAGACAACGAGAGAAGATGCTTGACAGTCTTGTTGCATGGCATGGAGGTGTGTCGGCACACGAACTGATACATGCTGCAGGAGATCACAGATTATGGAGAGGCATGATCGCCCACGCCACTCGGCAAGGCACATGATGATGATGATATTGTTGCTTTCAGTCTTTTCCAGCACAAATTACAGTCAGAATCTTCATAGTGACACCTAAATAACACAATTACTGCAATTGCTACACTGTTTGTGAACACCTTCTTTGCAAAGTGAGAATAAAACATGTTTATTAGCCTATTATTCATTAACAAAAGAGAGAGTGAGTCAAGCAGCTGGAAAATGTAAATAATAAGTAGCAGGACTGTATTCATTAAGGAATAGTTGGAAGTAAACTGATTGCAAGTGCTTAGATTGTTTTTCTTACAGTCCATACCATGTGGTCTTTGTAGTCATGTCTGTCCACATTGTTCTTGCTTTGTGTACTGTCACTTATTTCTGAAATATTTATTCTTTCATGCCAGGATGTCACACTGTTCAATATCTCCTCTCTTTGTTTCCCTCTGCTTCACTTCCCCTCAAGCATTCCCGTTGTCACAAGATACTTCATGTGTTCCTTTTTCATGACATGCCAAAAGCTGGTAATTTTTTGTAATGAGGTAATTTCTCTTAACACATCTTAATTTTACATGTTTATCTCTCCTTGATGTTTTCCTCATTGATCTATTAACCCATTAACTACCAAGCCTGTTAACCTTGCATTTTCCCAGATACCACATGTTTCTAGTGTGTACCTAAAATGCCATTATTTAACATAAACTCAAAATATTTTTTTACTTTTATACCAATTTCAAAGGCATTTGAAGAAATACAACCGCATAATCTTGTTTTACATCATCATCATATGGCTGTAGATTAATACAGTCAACAATATTTTTTTTTTAATGCTGACAGCAAAATAGACTAACAAAAATGCCCTAGCTTCACTACCGTTTTACTTAAACTCATATTTTGCATTTCGTTTCACCAAACTGAATGGAGAATAGATTTTAAGAATTAAAAAAAATTGATGTAATCTTGTTTTACATCATTTGGCTGTAAATTGGTGCAAAAAAGGCAACTGAAAAATCTTCTGTCTGACAGCAGTATAGACTTTTGTTTCTCTTTTTCTGCTAGTAATTATCCTGGGTGAGAGCTCTGCTTAACTTTGAAATAAAATTCTGCAGTTTTAGTTACAGCTGGCCAGTTTTAACCAAGAATTTTTGATGCTGTATGTGATTGAATTGTCAAAAAGCCACAAGAGCAATCTTTTCCTAAACCTCTTATCACGGAAATCTCACTCACCCTTGTGATTTTGCAGCTTAATACGATGTGGAAGAGCAAAATCAGCATCTCAGTCAAGGTCAAAATTCACAAATCACTGGTGTTGTCTATTTTCTTATACGCATGTGAGAGTTGGACTCTCACTGTAAAAAGGGAAAGGAGGATTCAGGCTTTCAAATGTAAATGCTACAGATGAATTTTACGAATTAGTTATTTAGAACACATAACTAATAAATATGTCAGAGACAAAACATCCAAATTTGTGGGACATCAAGAGCCTCCCTTGGCAGTGGTGAAACTTCACAAACTAGCTTGGTTTGGGCACATGGTGAGAAATGATTCGAAGACTGTACTTCAAGGAACATTGGGTGGCGCGGTGATTTATGTCACAGGCGTGAGGGGAAGTTAAGTCCAACAAGATGTGTATAAGGAGATACTCCGTACGTCACTCGGGCGCCAGCCCTTTACTATCCTGGTTGTATGGAACCTCACGCAAGACCCCTACAGCACGTCCTCGTCGTGCGCCACGGATAATGTCTCAAATGAGCATTAACAGAGCTGTCAGGGGATCTCGGAGTTTGGCGGCCCCCAGAGGTGATGTGTCCTTGTGGCTCTTATCAGCCCGCCCCCAAACGCTTGGGAGAAAAGTGTTATCAAAACTCATTAGGAACATGAGTATGTTTGACAAAATTACAGCTAAAATTACAACCCTTGGTTAAAAGACTGCTGAGTAAAGAGAACATTGCTCAATGCTCATCCTCGGTTAACTCTCAGTGTCGTCGTCACCGCGCTGAGGTGCACCACAACAACAACCATACATGGGCTGGCCATCCTTGTGCATCCTCGGTTGGCCCTCAGTGTCGCCGTCACCGCGCTGAGGTGCACCACAACAGCAACCATCCATAGGCTGGCCAGTCACGTACATCCTCGGTTAACCCTCAGTGTCGTCGTCACCGCGCTGTGGTACACCACAACAGCAACCATCCATCGGATGGCTAAGCCTAAATGTCCGACAAAACTAGATCATACGGATCAAAATCTGACCATCAAAATTTGCACTGAACTGAAAAAGGCCGAATGTC